GTAACGTGTTTTAAAAAGTGGATTCAACTGCATATGATTAAATGTATCAAAAGGATCCAAATGTTATTTTTTAAATGAAGTAAACTTCCGCAATCAATTCCAATCCAACCACATAGTTTCACATGTTACTTACCTTAACTGCTGCGCATGCAAGTAAAGTCATGGTGGAGTTCATTTTTGGGGTTTGAATATTGCAGCAGATGCGCCAAATTTCCACATTAAATATGAAGAGGAATAACACCAAATTTTCCATGGAACCCACCATTCTGTTTCCAATCCTCTCCAAACAAACCCCCCGCTATTATTTTAATTAATGATAAGAGCCAAGTTTCAGCGCCCATAAACTCACCTACTCGAATTACTTCATTTTATTTTGAACCTCTTTAATATTTCTTTTTGACTTTCTCTTCTCTGTTTGAGAAAATTATCTGCTTCTGATGTTTGACCCATTTGAAACCAAACAAAAACTAGCATTTTGGGTCATCTCCAAGTTGGTCAAGTTGGCTTCTTGACGTGGCCTGCGCTTCTTTCCTCTCTGCCTGCCAAGTGTTTGTAGAAATGCCGCAACCAAAAAAAATGCCCCTGCCCCTGCCAACTCTACGGCTATGGCCCTATTCCCAATTCCCAAGTATAATTCCTGATGCAGCTATCAGCTCGCGGCTCCATATGTAAGTCAGTATTATTATGATTATGAGTCAGGCTTCGTTTCAGAGGGGATCCCCACGGCCATGGCATCTATGTTGGTCTCTACCTCAGCCATAAATATCATCTTTTTTAAGGCCCCATTCTGTGCTTCTGTCTTCTCTTATTTGACATTACATTTTTGCTGCTACAAAGTTAAGATTTATTGGTTTTAGTTCTTGGAAGAGGGTGGGATATGTTGACTGATTCGTATAAGTTTGGAGATAGCCGTATCTATGAACCGATTTTTTTTGGGGTGAGTATATCTTGTTGACTTTAATTAATTTAGGAGCAACATTTTTTTTCTATTTTTCTTTTTTGACATAGAATCCAAGGCTTGGAGAGAAATACTCAAAAGATTCATGGAGGATTATTTTGGTAGAATGATTTTTTTTTTAATACAACATGTGGGATGAGGATCAAACTCACGATCTTTGATCGTGATTTGAGATATATGACAATTACCTTTGAGCTAGGCTCGTTTTGGTATTTTTTAAAAATGAATTGGTTATAAATTGGTTTGAAATAATATGAGATTAATGACCATGTTTTTTTCCAAGGGCGTTTGATATGGTATAACTTAGGTTACAAATTTGGTTCATGGAATTTTGGTATAGTTTAAATTTGGCCCTATAATTTTTTTTTAATTATCCAGGAAAATTTGTTTGTAATGAAATTAATGAAAGATAGATCTATATCATTGGTGAAACATTCAATAATGTTTTAGATGTTTGGTTGATTGTGATCTTATATTCTAAAATTATATTTATAATTATAAACTAATATTTTTTTACAACACTTAGGATTAGGGGTTCGAATTTACTACCTCTATGTCAATTACCACTGAACTATACTTACTTTAACATAATTATAAACTAATATTAATAGACAATATTATTCGTACATAGTATATGAAAAAAATATGAAGTATTTAAAGGTTGGAGGTCTTAGGCGATGACATTTGCTTATACCACATTACAAATGGTCTAATTTGAATAGTGTAAAGACTGTGTCAAACTAGCAAGTAATTAAGACAGCAATAACCTAAGGTGGCAATCGAAATTCTTTGTTTTCAGATTTATGGGAATATATATTTGACATATTTATGTTTTTTAAACTGTTTTTGAGATTCTATGATTTCAAATGCTAAAAATTTTACTTCACTTAAAAATTTTAAAATGCATGATTACATTCAAAAAAGATAACAAAAATGGATAAACAAAATATATTATTTTATTATAAACTCATTTCATTTTTGTTAAAATGAAAACGTGTAAAATAATATTATAAGTTATATAGTATTGTAAAATAATAATCATAATATATATATATATATATATATAAATTTAATTAATAATTCGAAACACATAAAACATGAGATACAACTATATATTTTTGTCAAGTCTTTATATGGCTAATCAAATGCATCATAAAAAATTATCCTTTATTCATCAATTATAAGCTAGATTTGATTGGTCAAGCATCACTACAAATGTAGAGTCAGATTTTTTATTGATATTATGATATATTGAGTCATCAATGATATCGTTTAATTTATATTTGATTAATAGATAAATCTTTGATTCAAATAATTATCCCTTCAATCATCACATGCTTGGTTCCCTCCATTATATGTTAAAATAATTAAACCACCAAGTTTATGAGAAGTTTCCTACCACTTAAACGACTTAAATGAAATTGTTTAAGAGTTGGTTTGTTTTTTGGGAATGCATGTACGATGATTGAAATTTCAAATGTTTGGAATTTCGTATATAAAAAAATGTTCAAAATTTTAATTAGATATCTATTATATTTGATAATCACAATTATTTTTGTTAGAAAATTTATGAAGATATCTGTAGGTAAATATTTGGATAATCATGTTAGTTTAACATGATTTATTTGTGGAAGTATTTTAAATTTATATTGGGTTCCAAAAATACCCTTCATATATGATTTGCATTTATATAATAGATTTAGTTTTATCAAAATTAATATTTTGTTTTTTATATTAATATAATATTTGTTTAAAAATAATTAATATCAAATATAAATTTTATTTTCAACTTTAATATGTTTTAAAAAAAGACAATTATAATTGGTGTTATCTTTAATGAAATTTATTTATTATATTATAACATTATATTTTTTTAAGAGGAGAAGTATCAGATGAACATTGGTCATTAAAAAAATTAGTCATAAATATTATTAATAATAATTCAATCAAAATATTAAAATAAATAAAGACATTGTATAATTTAATTAACTTTTATTTTATATGTAAATATAATATATAAATATATTTAGTTAATTATTACATCAATTTATCAAATTATAAAATCAAAAATAAAATAATTGATAAAAGTAAATATATGAAAAAATGTAAAGAGATGATGGGCATTTTAAGTTACCGGATATCTAGATATGTCTAAATATCTTCTATTATCGCAAAACAAACGTACGAATTCATATACCGTCCAATAAAAATCTTGTTTTTTCATAAAACAAACGCTACTTAGTGAATTTTAATATAATTTTCAATGATTTTAATGTTATTAATCAACTTACATTTTTGCTGACAAAAACATGAACATGATAGAGTCTATCTAGAAAGACTTTAACTTCATATTAACAATAATACATCAATGTCTTACCATGTAGAGAAAAAAAGTATATTTTACGACGAATTAAATTTTGTTTATTTATTGTCAAATGTCATAACATAACTTAAAAAAAATGAAAACGAATATTCAATTTTTGTAATTTGATAAACAAATACTTCTTGACTCAACTTGAGTCAGGCAAGATTAATTAATTAGTAAGGTCTATCTATTATACTTATTGTTTCAATAATCCACAACTTCCACTATTTTCACGTAAGAAATTATTAATATATGTTAAATTTCATCTCTTAAATGACAGGTAAATATTAAGATAATAGTGTAGTCATTCACAAATTTGTTATTTTCAAAAAAATTAACTTCGATCACTTTTATAAATAAATAATCTATCAACAACCTAAAAAAAAAAGAAACAAGTCGATAAGAACTTAGTTCAACAATAAATGACACATGTATATGACTAAGAGATCATGAGTTCGAATCCCTGACCCTCTATTATTGTGCTAAATTAAAAAAAAGTAGGAACCGTTTTAATAATTTATGTTGGAAAACATGTCAATGTCATAGTTGTAATATGTAGTTTGTGTTTTAATTTGAGAAATTGTTGTATTGTGTAGTTATTTGCAGTTAAAAAGATTTCAATGGTTGTAATATAATACTTAATAGTTTAACATATTTTTGAATTATATTTCAAAAAGTAGTCATCCATCGGAATAAATTTAAAAAACACGATAAAGTAAAAAATAATTATTGAACAAAACTATAATTTATAAGAGAGAGGTGAAGATTTGATAGATAGTGATAGAGGATAGGGAGTAGGGGAGTAGATTTTCCCTACAAAGACTAACACTAAACGAGGTGAAAATTTACTATTTAGGAAGATTTGATAGATAATAGATAGGGAGATAGAGAGTAGAGGAGTTGACTTTTTTCCATACAACGAGACGGAAAATTCTTGTTTAGGCTCCTACAGTATTAGAGTGGGAGAATCCTTATCACCTAATTGGAATGGTTTCCTGTTCTCGTCCCATCCAATATTTTATATATATATATGTATATATATATATAATTATATTGGACTAGTATTAAACATTAATTTTTTTTTATTAGGTGATTTAACAACTTTTTATTTAGACATAATATTCTTCCCATAGATATAACAAGGTAAACAGGTCTTCATCTTAAAAAATAACAATGAGGGGAGAATAATTAGGCATGGGGGAGGGATAAAAGAGTAAAATAAGTAGTTAATTCTAATATACCGGGTAAATAACAAAATAAAATAATTAGGAGGGAAATCTCGAGATATAATAAAATGAGGTTATCGAGAGGGGAATTTATATTGAATTAGAAAGAAAGAATAAAATTGAAAAAAAATGGTAGAAATAATTTTAATTCTTGTGCCGACACGTCGTTTGGGTTCGAGTTGACCGTACAGTTGGGGATAATACGCATTCCTAAAGTTTGCTGAAACAAGGAAAGGTAACCATCATCCGTGAGCTGTCTTCACTTCACAAATCCAATAGCTAAAAGAAAAAAAAAAGAAAAAAAGAAAAAGGAAAAAAGGAAGAGGAAGAAAATTTCAGATAATTTGAGCTCTGAGAGATAGAAAATGGCAGTGTCGAAGCGAAAGCACTCCATCACTCTCATCAGCTATAAATGAAAAAGGTAAAATTTTTGGTTTCGTTGGAGTTTCTTTCTGCCGTGTTCTCTCTCTCTCTCTCTCTCTCGTCAAGATAGCTTGAAACAAAGCCCACCAGTAACTTTTATCTCAAAATTTCCTTTTCCATCTCTCTCTAGTCTCTCTCATCTCATCTTTTTTCCCCCAAAAAACTCAGCTCTTTCTCTCTCTATATATAAACCTATGCAATTAACTCCCTCGGCGTTTCTGAAGCATCTCTGAGATCTACTGCCCGCACTAAATACATGGATTGAATGAGATTTCCCACCAACAAAGCCCAGAAGGTGAATTACCCAAACCAAGAGAAGCAGAAGAAGAAGAGAATTTTGAAACCCTACCTTTTTCTTTCTTTCTTTTAATTAAAGTTTCAGCAGCGTTATCAATCATATGTCTCGAAATCCGTGCTAATGGAGCTTGGTTTTTACTTCTCTCTCTTCTTCCTCATCTTCAGGTGCATCGGATCCGTGGTTTCGGATTCTGATCTTTCTTTTTACTGCCCAATTTATTATTGGATACTGGGTTTTGTATGAACCAATTTGATTTGTATTTTTTGCAATTTTTTTAAATTCCTTTATAATGTTTGATGAATGCCCCTGCTGCTTCTTGAACCCCTTTTCTGCATTTTGGCCGTCTAGGGTTTGAATTGTAATGGGCCTGATATTAATTGAACTACTATGACTGCATTAGCAGCTATGGTTGTTGACTTTCTATGACAAAAAGAGGGTTAGGGGCTAGGGCATGCATATTTATTTGTAGGATTACTCATGGTAGTGAACATACTTGTAGAATTCTCCTACCTCCGTAAATCGAGCGTTTTAGAGTTTGCCAAACTGCCTTTGTTGAGAATTACTCCTTCTTATAGTTATAGATGTGGTCTTAGCAACTTTTCCAGTTTGTTCAGTCAACATCTTATCTTCATTCCAAAATATTTTACACCATGCATGATTTCGAAATTTTGTTTATTTATAACAAAGTTGAATTGTGGAGTGGGTATGGATTATGAACTTTCAGCGTTTCTTCTTGTCCTCACCCTCCCGTTTTATTTTATTATTATAATTTTGATATCCTATCATCTAATGTTTCTCCAAATGTATTGTGTAAACACTAGAAATATTTTCTTCTGCATTTCGCTTCTCCCTTCATTTTCTTCGATGCTAACGGATGTCATTTTATTGATTTAGGTCATAGTGGGCATTGGAGGAAGTGGCCTGTGTATCGGGGTCTGTTCTGTTGGTGAAACCAGAACATTCTTTCTTGATCAGGAGTCGTATATGTAACAGATCAAAGTTTTGCTTTTCTGGGTTGAGTTCTCTTATCTTTCTTCGGATGGTCACTAAATTATTTGGGTATCAATATCACTCTGGAGTGGCGTTCAAGTGGATTTTGTTGTAAGAATGCAAGGAAAATAACCACAGCTACAGTTCGAAGATTTCTATGCTATTAGGACTGCTGGAATTGATGACAAAAAGGTGCTGGAATGATATTATTGAACCAATCATGGGATGTACATGTTATATTTGCAAAATATGATGGAACGGGGGTGATTTACAATGCATGAAACTTTTTTATAATAGAAGTTGTTACTTTCTAGTAGAAGTGTGGGGAACATTGTAACCGTAGGAAACATGGACGGTTGTGATGTAAATTATTTATCTTGGTACTTATCAGGAAGTCTTTAGTTTCCTGGACTTGTTAACCAAGCTTTAATACTGCTCTGTCAGACCATATTGTGGGAAATCCCAACTTATACTATGGAATCTATGACATTGCATACGAATCATCTGTCGGGTGCTGTTCATCGGTTTATACCTTTTATTGCACCTGCGCTTCTGGTTTCAATTAGTTATGTTGACCCTGGAAAGTGGGCTGCAACTGTTGAAGGAGGTGCTCGATTTGGGTTTGATCTGTTTGTGTTGGTGCTTCTTTTCAATTTTGCTGCTATTTTGTGCCAGTATCTCTCAGCTAGCATTGGTGTGGTCACTGGAAGAGGTCTTGCCCAGGTATAAATTATTTGTCTTTGAGGCTTCTTGTATTCAAATCGGTTTCTTGTATTCAAATCAGTGGTCTGTCATATCTGAGGGATGTAGTGGTCTATCATATCTGAGGGATGTATCTCCCTTACCTTTGTGCATTTGCTACTGTTTCAGGTGTCTACGAGCAGCTCTTATCTGAAAATCAGTAGACTGATGTTGGTTTTTTTTTCCTCCCTGTGTATCAGTTCTGATATTTTATTTAATACGATAGTTTCTTCTGTTGATTTGTATTCTTGCTTCTCAGTTAAATACATGTGTGTAAGCAATGTCAATTTCTGTTACTGTCTCTGTTTTCAGTTTTGGACCTTACTGATTTGTGATGTTTGATAATGTTAGGCTGTATCCTTCACATTATTCCTCTTCCAGTTTGGTCTGTGCCTTGTGGTTGTATATGGTTGATTACTGTTATTTTTATATTACTTGGCTGCTGGCGCCAAACGTTTCTGGAGGTTTGACATTTTTTATTTCATTTTTTTTTTCTGTTGATAATACCAAAGATCTGCAGCGAGGAGTATGACAAGTGTACATGCATCTTCCTGGGAATTCAAGCAGAGGTTTCCGTGATTCTGTTGGACCTTACCATGGTAATTTTACTTTGTTTCTACTAACTTATTTGAGCCAAACCTTTGATTCAATTTTGTCATGAAACATTTCCAGCGAATCATGGTCTAATTCTATCATATTTAACTTCTTAAAAGGTTGAAAACCAATTTTGATGTAAAGCTAACATGTCATTTAAAAAACATACTAGATCCTGGGCATTTCGCATGGACTTAATCTTCTGCTTGGGTGGGACCTCTTCACTTGTGTCCTATTGACGGGTGTCGGTGCTGCCTTATTTCCCCTTTTTTCTGACCTTCTGGTAAGTGTTAAACTGTTATCACAATCATTTTTAATTCTCTCTTTGATGTAATTCATTATCTTAATGGGTTTCCATTTTCTAGGAAGATGGCAGGGCAAAGTTCCTATATATATGCATGGCAGGATGTATATTGCTCTCTTTGGTTCTTGGAGTACTCATCAGTCAACCTGAAATCCCACTTTCCATGAATCTCATGCTGACAAGGTTAAATGGAGAGAGTGCATTTACTCTTATGAGTCTTCTTGGAGCAAGTGTCATGCCTCACAATTTTTATGTGCATTCTTCTATTGTGCAGGTACTTCTCTTTTCTCCTCTAGCTATTACAAATGTTTTGATTTTCCCGGTCAAAGTGTATGTGCAAATAAGGAAAGTCAAAAGAGATGATCCAATATCTTATGATTAGGATGTCATTTAATGCAGTTCATTTATACTGGAACTTCTAGGATTGGATACTCCATGCTAGAGAATGATAAATGTGCATATAGATTTTCTCCTTGTCAAAGTCCTTGATAAATAAGTAAATATTTTTAGAAATTACGTTCTTGTCATTGTGAGATGTTCAAATATTCATATTTTAAGCCTTGGAAAGGCCAAAACTGCAAAATGTTGCTAAATTCGTAATTTCCATGTAAGTTTCTACTTGGTAAAAACCACAGGAGTTTTGAAGTAGTGTATGTGGCTTTTGTGAATAACTCGTACTTCCATCCCTCAGTTCCCAATTTTTAAGCATCTAGATGTCTTTCAAAGTTTGCCGATTTAACTTCATAATGTGTTGAATGTGAATAACTTGTACTCAACATACATCCCCGATCCCCCCAGTTCCTAGTTTCAAGCATCAAGATTTCTCTACTCTGCAAGGTAAAAGAACTTTTTATCAGTGTTATTAAACTTGTATTGTATCGTACAAGTTAAAACGAATCACAAGTCTTGTTCTGTTTCACAAGTTAACAACCTTGCTTTATATTTTAATAATATTAATTTAGATGTCCGTATTTTTTTTGTTATGATTTTCCAATATTTTCTTGCAGCAGCACCAGAGTCCGCCAAACATTTCCAAAGAAGTTTTATGTAATAATCATTTGTTTGCTATCTTCTGCACATTCAGTGGAATTTATGTGGTGAATAATGTTCTCATGAACTCAGCTGCAAATGTATTCTATAGCAGTGGCCTTGCTTTGCACACCTTCCCAGATGCATTGTCTCTAATGGAGCAGGTATTCTTTAGCCCCACTTCCCCCTCTCCCCCAATATATTTTGCTTCGATACTTGCTACGGTAGCTCAGTGTTACTTTATGTGTATTGAAATTGATCTTATTTCCCGTTCACCCCAAATTATGCAGGTATTTAGGAGCCCAGTGGTATATGTTCTCTTCTTACTTGTTCTGTTTCTATCAAATCAAATCACAGCACTCACATGGAGTCTTGGTGGTCAACTGGTCCTGACTAATTTCTTGAAATTAGATATTCCTGGTTGGCTCCATTGTGCTACAATTAGGATTGTTGCCATTATTCCAGCACTCTATTGTGTCTGGAGTTCAGGAGCTGAAGGGATGTATCAACTTCTTATATTTTCTCAGGTTATGGTAGCTCTTTTGCTTCCATCTTCTTTGATTCCCCTCTATCGTGTTGCTTCATCAAGACCAATAATGGGTGCCTTCAAAATATCGCAGCTTGTGGAGTTCATAGCACTTGTTATCTTTATTGGAATATTAGGTTTGAAAATTGTATTTGTTGTAGAGATGATATTTGGTAACAGTGATTGGGTAGTTAATTTGAGCTGGAACATGGGGAGTGGGATGTCAATCCCATATGTGGTTCTCCTTAGTACTGCTTGTTCATCATTCTGTCTGATGCTATGGTTGGCAGCTACCCCATTAAAATCTGCCACTGCTATTGCCCAATTAGATGCTCGAGTATCGAACTGGGATATGCCAGAAACTTTACCTGATTCAGCTGCAGAGAGAGAGGATATTGATTTGGGGAAAAGTTCATACACCACAGAGCCTATAGAAAGTCATTCAGACTTGTCTACTGCAGAATTTGATTTTAATTTGCCAGAAAACATTATGGAGCCTGATCCGGTGCTTGGTTCAGTTGCTCAAGGTGAGGATCGATCTAGTGGTGTAGTTCCTAGCTTCCCGAAGTTAGTTTCAGAGGAACTCATATCCACTGAGGAATTAGTCTCATCCTCAACTGTGGCTCATGATGTTCCTGATTCAACATTGGCAGACAAAAAGATCTTAAAAATTGATTCAGTGGAGCCCATTGAAAAAACTGTTGGACTGGATGCTGACTTGCGATCTGAGAAGGATGATTATGAGATCGATAATTGGGAGGCTGAAGAGTCATTGAAAGAGATTTCTGGGAGTATGCCATCATCAACATCTGAGGGTCCTGGATCTTTTAGAAGTCTTGGTGGAGAAGGTGGGAATGGTACTGGTAGTCTTTCAAGGTTAGCTGGACTCGGACGTGCTGCAAGGCGCCAACTAACTGGAATTCTTGATGACTTTTGGGGACAATTGTATGATTTATTTGGACAGGCGACTCAAGATGCAAAGATTAAGAAACTAGATTTATTGCTGGGAATTGATTCAAAACTTGTAACTTCCTCTCTGAAATTGGATGCTACTGGAAAAGACTTCCCTGGATACATATCTGTTGGAAGCAAAGCATCTGATCAAATTTCTTCAAATAATTTATATGACTCCACCAAGAGTCAGAGGGTACAAGGTTTAGAGTCATCCTACGGAGTACAAAAAGGACATCCATCATTATTGTGGCCTAACCACATGCAGTTTTGGGATGCATGTTATCCTAATTCTAGCCCTAATCCTATTGACTCTGGAGAGAGGCGCTATTCTAGTGTGCGCAGTTTGCCTTCTTCTGAGAGTTGGGATTATCAGCCTGCCACAGTCCATGGTTATCAGATTACATCTTATCTTAGTAGAATGGCCAAGGACAGAAGTTCTGATAACTTGAATAGTCAGTTGGATCCATCAGGCTTTAAATATCCGTCCTTGGGTGGTGGTGGTGCAAGCTTGAGAGACTCACTTGCATTTAAAATGGGGCAAAAGTTTCAAAGTGGCTTGGGTACTTGTCAGGCCCCTTCCCCTGGATTGCATAACTTGCCTGTATCCAGGAGTCCTGCTTCCCAATCTGACAGGCCATATTATGATCTTTCCCCCTCTGGAACTGCTGAGAATTTATTGACTGTATCTAATACAAAGAAATACCATAGCTTGCCTGATATTCATCGGGATCAGCATGTATCAGATAAGAGTTCTCAGTGGGATGGTGTGACTGGTTATGGATCATCTATTGGTAGAACAACAGCTCGTGGACTGTCGTTCTCAAATTCTGGATCAAGAATAGTTGCTCCTTCAGCATTTGATGAGCTTTCTCCATCAAAAGTGTACGGTGGTGCTTTATCACCACAAATGAATTCTCATCTGGATTCTGGATCCCTCTGGTTTAAACAGCCTTCTGAACAATTTGGCTTGGATAAAAATAGCAATCCTGAGAGTAAAGGAATTGGGAGGGTTCATTCAATTAGTCAAGAAGCCTCTTTTGTTGTGAATTCAGAGGCCAGGCTTCTCCAGTCTTTCAGAGACTGCATTGTCAAACTTTTGAAATTAGAAGGATCAGACTGGTTGTTTGGGCAAAGTGATGGTGCTGACGAGGAACTAATTGATTGTGTAGCTGCCAGAGAGAAATTTATTTGTGAAGCTGAAGCGAGGGAGATGAGTCGGGTGGTTCGCATGAAAGAATCTCCTTCATTTTCTCCTGATAATAGGAGATTGGGTTCTGGAATGAAGAATGATACAAACTTTACAAATGTTTCTATATCCTCAGTACCTCATTGTGGGGAAGGCTGTATTTGGAGATCAGATTTGATTGTAAGTTTTGGTGTATGGTGCATTCACAGAATCCTGGATCTCTCACTTATGGAAAGTCGGCCAGAACTATGGGGAAAATACACTTATGTACTCAATCGTCTTCAGGTAAATATTGACTATTTTTTCTCTGTATCAATAACATTTTACCTACTGGCAGGCAGAAAATGTCTCTTGCTGAAAAATACCACTGGTGTAGGGCTTATTTGATAAATCTTACATCTGTTGCAGTAAATGTTGACTGAAATATTTTTGGACAATATGGATTACATGAATTCTGATGGCATCACTTGTTTTATGAGTCCAACCTAGCCATCTCTGTTTAAGCATTTAAGATTATATACATGAATATGTAATACAATGTCTACTTCTCATGACGTAGTAGGTAGTAGGCTGCAAGAATTTCTTTTTGAAATATAAATTCGTTTATATACAGGCATGATTTTCTATTTTATAGTCTAAATACAACATGCAAAAACAACTCGTATTTATGCATGTAGTAGGAATTGTCATCAGAATCTCCAATTATATCGTCATGGCAGATTGCAGAAGAGTGCATTGTTCTGTTTCACTTGCTTTCTTGATTTTGTCACTTTTTTTTTCTTGGATTCTAATTTTGCCGACCCTAATGGTAACTTTCAGGGTATTATTGATCCTGCATTTTCGAAGCCCCGTATACCAATGCCGCCGTGCTTCTGCCTTCAAATTCCTCAAGCATTCCAGCAGAGGTCAAGCCCACAAATTGCAAATGGAATGTTGCCTCCTGCTGCAAAACCAGGCAAGGGAAAATGTACCACTGCCGCAATGCTTCTGGATATGGTCAAGGATGTAGAGATTGCAATCTCCTGCCGAAAGGGCCGAACTGGTACAGCAGCAGGCGATGTAGCTTTCCCAAAGGGGAAGGAGAACTTGGCGTCGGTCCTCAAGCGCTACAAGCGACGGTTATCCAATAAGCCTGTTGCCACTCACGAAGTATCATCTGTTTCACGCAAGCTTCCAGCAACATCCGTTCCTTATAGCTCATAGTATTTACCCAAACATGGTGATCAGATCACCCAGCTGTTTAATTTTGGAAAGCAGCTCATGGTCGGAACGAGATGCCCCCCATCCTGGTCTTTCGCACTTTCTCCCTTTTTCTCTCTCTGAAAACATGTATCAAAGCCCTTGCTGCGAATTTTCTTCCCACATGTTAAAATATGGATAGGATGTGACTCACCGGACTTTTAGTTGCAGCAAAACTCAAGGAAACTGGTGCAAACAAGTCACATGGAAAGTTGATTGTTATAATGGTTGCACCAGTTAGTTACTTGTGTCCAAGTAAATTGCTGGAGAGATCACAAGGTGACTTGAAAAGCTCAAAAAAATGTTAGTATATAGCAGACAGAGCTAATGTTGCTGTATATATTGTCTCTGCAAAACTTTCTGAACATTTCAAAATCTCTTTCCACATAAGGTATTCTAGTCTGGCTGTTTGTTAGATGATGGGGCTACTTTCTTCTATTGCCTGCCCGCCTTGACGGGTCATAAGACAACTAGATCCTCTCGGGTTATCGAGTGTGTTTTTGTCGATTCAGATCATCTGAATTGGTTTATATCTAGATGTTCTTCTGGGTTCATTTCTCTTTCCTTGAGATGCCTTTCTTTTGAACTGAAAAGCATATTTGAACGTTTCTAGGTGCAAAATTCTTTTGGTTTATCATAAAGTCAATGAAGTGAAAACCAAATTATGAAAACATGGCCAATTTGGGGGTTTCCCTGTTGTGGAGATATTGCTTTTAATAATGCAGGTCACCTTCTGGGGCCTAACATTACACAATACACATGGAAGGTTTCTAATTCAGTTTGCTGTTGAGAATTTTTTTTTCTGTTTTTTGGGTACTAAAGTTTTAGTTTAATGTGTGGATGAAATGATTTGTTGGAATAAAATTATCAGTATTTTGACTAATGAGGTTTCTTTTCTGCTTAAAAGTTATCATTATTTTCAGAAAATTTGAACTACTAGTTTCTTCTTTTTGTAATGTATGTGTATGTATTAAAGTAGTAAATATAATGTTTTTTCAATCAGCATTTAAGTTATTCTAATCATGAACTTGGCTGCAAATTTGGAGTAGGGTTAAAATATCTCTACTCCTTTTAACTTTTGTTTGCGGTGTGATTTTAGAAAAAAAATGATATTTAGGATGAGACAATGGTTAAATCTTGTGAAGTAGCTAATAATTTATTAAGAATAACAATGAGGGAAAGTAGTTGAATGAAAAATACATCTATTATCTTTATTATCTATCTTGAGGTCGAATGTTGGTTTTACATTACAATTTTATATTTGTCGAACCAAAAAGAAATAAAAAATAAAAAATAGAGTGAGCAGAAGTATTTCTCAATGTCCCGACTATTCACGGAATGTGAGAAGTAGTGAATAATCATCCACTTTCGGAAGAAATCGAAGAATTTCTCGAGAATCCTACAAGATCCATTCGTTCTTTTTCCTCTAAACCAGATGTAATATATTTTCTCCCATGTATTTAGTGAAATCTAACATAACAATACTTCGGTTTTTATTTTTTACTTTATGTACTTAGAGCTAAGTTAGTTTTAATTTTATAATTATATTTCATTAAATTAAATCTTCAAGTTGTATACATTATGAAATTAAAACCTTCACACAATAAATTTACAGGATTTCTCAAATATGAACCGATTAATTATTTACAAAATTCATTAATAAAAAGGTCCAAAGTTCAAACTCGATAGCAAAACATCCAAATTCAAGAAAAGAAAAGTCCAACTCAGCCACAAAACTAGCTTGGCCCGACTACAAGATCACTTATCCTCGAGTTAAACTACAAATTTGAAAAAAAAAAAGTTATATTAAATATCTGTATGGTAGCATCTCTACTTTCTTATTTCTTATTTTTCGTATTCAATTTGTTGGAGGTTGTTACCGCCCGTCAGTATTTAAGAAGACAAATCTACCTAAAATAACGGTGACTATCCTCAAGTTTCACTAGTTCGGTATATAGCTTTCGAGCCGACCTACTAAGATTTCTGCAGGTGCATAAGCAATGTTCTATTTTCGATAACACGCCGCGTTTCAAAGGCGGTTGAATGATCGTTACGCCTCATGTTTTTATTACTTTTTTAATAAAAATAACAAGAAATAAAATAATTAACAAGCATAATTTTATTTAAAAAAATAATAATAATAAAAAAAGAGAAAAGTTATCAACCACCCTAGTTGTATAGTTCATCCAAAACGTTAAATTCAATTATAAAAATTTAAAATGTAAAGTAAAAAAAAAAAAGGATTCATCTAATTCTAATCACATATTCACAAGGGTAAAATAAAAACGTCTTTTCCAGAAACTAATTCTTATTGGAAAAAAAAATAAAAAGGTCACGTCAAGACCAGCCCTTTGGACTTATATGGAGCCGTGACGTACACATAAACAAGTTTTTAATTTAATAAATAAACAAATAAAAAATATATATATATTATATATATATATATTTCTTTTTGGAAAAAGGCCACAGATCCTTTTTATTTAATCTCTCTCATCTCTCTCTCTCTCTCTCTCTTCTGGCTTTGCTTGGTTTAGGTGAAACACAGCAAAAAAGGTAACCAAAATTAAACCTTTTTTTTTCTTGAATTTCTTCTTCTTCTTCTTCTTCTTCAGTATAAATCTGTTGCTGTTTTCTGATCCTTTGATCATCTCCTTCAGCTGGCTGTTTCATAATTTTTTCCTTTTAGTTTCATATTAATATAATACATCAATTCCTTTCCAATTTTTCTTTTTTCTTTTTTTTTTTTTAAATATTCTCTCTCATTTTCAACTCACAGTCTGACTTTTCAAATAAATAATAATTAAAAATTAGGAGCTGAATATGGAAACTCGGGTATNTTAATAAAAGATATAATAAGCCAAAATCTTTTAGAAGATCTCATAATTTTTAATATCTAGATTCTACATACATCATCATACTATCACTAAAGTTTCCATCTATACAATTTTCATTTGTTAATAGTTAGTAAATACTAGTTAACAAAATCAATTCAAATAATCAATACATATAAAGTATAAACATTATAATCTTCCAAAGTTTTGAAGAATTATTTCTCACCATTTTTTAAAATAAATATTTTACTCTGGTAGGAAGGCGAAGAAAAGAGAATGGGATACGTGTTGATAATTCCTATGTGGATGCTACTGTTCGTTTTGGTCGTGGGCCTTACCGTTTACCTACTCGTAAGGGCCCGTAATCGAAGGCAAGCAGCCCAAATTCCAGTGTATTATGGGCCTCCTGCTCCCCCGGCCCCATTTCAGGCCCAAGATAAGCCCAACTGATCGCTCCAATACTCCTACTAATATGTTTTGTGTGGATCTGAACTTCTATCTTGGATTGTTACTGCTTGTGTGAAAGTAAATTATAATGAATTTGAAATGGAACTTATTTTACTAGCTATTATTTTAGCTTATTGTTGCCATAGATTCATTTTAATTATTCTTTGACAGTGAGTTAATTTTGAATTCTGTTGGATTATGTATAATGACGTGCCATGTATTCTTAAGGACAATTTAGAGTTCCTGTATGTCTTCTCGGTCCCACCAATCATTAGATCTCTCGATCTTAAGGTAGGTTCGGTCTATATAGCTGATAAAACTGGTTTGTTACGTAGCGGTTCTCAATCATTAAATACTTATATATACCATAGCGTACTCCTTATGCAGGTACGTGAAATCAGTTGCTCCACGTGATACTCAATAGGTTGGATTGTGTGATTGACTTACTTTTTAGAGTGCTCATCTATGTTTTACACCTAAAGGCTTGGCCCCGCCTTGTTTGGAGAATGAGTCTATATCTAGGCATGACTTAGTCAGTTATTCTCGCAATTCAGGTAAGATTCAGACCGTCACTTCTCTAAAAGCACGGTTCTTTCCTCCCTCCTTGGATTGGAGCTCGTCCATTCCTTGGGTGATCCCTTGCTTTCACGTTCGAGTGTTTGCTCGTCGTTTAGGTCGGTGAGTTTTCTTACTTATTCATGATTCTTGAGAATAGTAGGATTTTGATTAAAACGAATTCAATATATCTATAGAGTTTAAAATTACTTAGTAGGATGTAAAAACGTAGGAAATATCGTGAATTATCGATTGTAGTTTCTTTTATCTTTTTTTTTTAGTTCAAGAAAGGGTGTTGACGAAATTCAAAATATCAATCGAAAAGTTATTAATACCTTAATTAACTTATTATAGAGAGGTTACTAAAGTCTTACTTTTTGAACTCAATAGCATGGTGGAGATTCGAACTTCTAATATATTTTGGTCCAAAGTACGATTTAACCAATTAAGTTATTAAAAAAAAACTAATTGAATTATGCTTTTAACTTAAAATTTAATTAATTCAACTATATTTAGATTTCTATTTATATACAGTGTTAATTAAGAATAATGGTTATGTCAAGATTTTAAAATTGAAGATTATCGGTCATCATTTTTCATTTATAGATGATTGGAGCTTTAATTCAATTCATCTAACTAGATTACCATGTATAATTTAATAGATAAAAGTACTTCTTAATATATCTATTAAGATAATTAATAATTAATTAATATATATTTATTACACTTTTTTTATACTTAAATTGTAAAAATAATTAAAAACAATTAGAAACCGATAATTTTTCTCGACAACATCTCTCGGATCTAAGAATGAGATGAATACGGATGACGAGCATTAGCATGTGAGAGAACATCCTCACTCGCACCCACACCATTGTCATCTCTACTATACATAAAATTTAATTCGTGTATAATTAAAATTTTAAAATATTTTAAACATCAATTTAAATTGTTTTTAAACTTTCTTAAAATTGTTTTTAAAATCACAGGTGCTGAATTGAAATTAAACTCGAAAGTACTGGTACGATGGAAGAGAGGGAATCGTGGTTGACGTCAGTTACCAAAAAACGTGGGGCCAGGCCATGATCCTGACCCCAAATAACTTGGTAGGTGAAACGAATGGCCGAGATTCAAAAGCATTTAATTTCTTTAATTCATTTAAAACAAATAAACAAAAAATAATATTTTCCCAAACATAAGAATCGTGGATGTTGAATTGTCAATTTTGGTGCTGTCAGTGATGGCGTGGGTCCACAAAAGTCACCCACCTTTGAAATAACAAATCAAAGGCTTAGATCACCACTTCCAATTCTCATCATTTTTTAAGATATTATTATTAAATCAGACTATAAGTTTATGTAAACTAATTTAGTTGGGTTAACACATAATTTAATTTTCTAAAAGTTAAGAGTAAATAAAAATATAATCCAAATCAAACTCAAAATTCAAATGGGAGTAAATGATCATATTTATAAAATAAATAAATAAAAAATTGTGACATTTTTTAAAATGCATATTCAATTCTAATTTTATCTTTTAACATACATTACACTTCAATAGAGTTATAATAAAATGAATTTTGAAACAACATTCCCTGCAACCTAGACATGTGTTTTATGAGGTCTCTTCTTTTATTGTCTCTCAATTTTTTTTCAACCCCCCTCATTCTCTTTGTTCAATTATGGTTGTGGTCCATCTTATTAATTCCAAAAAAAAAAAAAAAATACTTGACTCATTCAATTGTAAAGAACAAATTTGTCCTGATCACCATTAAATGTTTGACAACTAAAAAAGATAAATGTCAAAAATAGATACATTTTATAAAAATTAATAAGTTGTCAATTTTTATCGGTGGTGTGGCCAAGATTTGGTCCTTACCGTTTATGGATCAATAACATATTTCTTTTTATGAGTGCAATATGGATTTCTCTATGTAGAAAGAGATTTTTTGTTTATAGAAATTAAGAAATAATTAATTATGATAATTAAAAATCTTAATTTTTTAATTTCTCCATGGAATGGATTCAGGAGTTTCACACATCTTCGAGTAACAAGTATTTTTCTTGATTCAATCGATGCTACCGCTTACCTTAACGTAGAGATGGATAGTACTGGATATGACTCTAGCTTTAGGTAGTACTCATCAGACGTAAAAGAAAATAGTAAACTTTTGGTTTGAATCGAGGGAAGTTGGTAAGAAAATAAGGATAAAAAGTGGGGGTTAAGTTCTGACAATGTGGCTAGAAGACATTGAAGACATTGGAGGGAAGGAGACAAACTTTTTCTCCCACGTTTTAAAAACCTAAAAATATTACTGCATGGCAGGTGTTTGGGTGTTAGATTTATACATTAGTAAAAGGTCATAAGAAGTATTTACAAAATGGACAATATCATATGATTATAAAGATATTTGAGAGTACGAGAATACTGTTATCCTTAACAAGTAGTATCATAGCCATGATCTATCTTCGAGTGCCGAAAAAAAAAATGATGAAGAGATTATACCCAAAACATGATATGAAGGATATCGTTGTCCGTAGGAATGCATGAATTTTGAAATAAGGAAACATTGGAATCTACGTAAGCTATCTCAAATTCACTTTTCTTTTAGAGGTAATATGAGAAAATAAAGTTATATGGATTAGATTGTGAAACGGAGGGAAAAAAAAAAAGAAAAGAAAAAGAAAAAAAAATGCATATCTCCACCAACCCACGTCCACTTGCAATCCCACTTGGAAGCCACGCTGCTTAATTCTCAGCCGTTAGATATAACATATCAATTTTGTTTAGATCTTACGGTCGAGATTAAATTTCAACTAATCTCCCTCCTGGAGTTTTTCTTCCACCAACACCATCTAGCTCACCTACCCCCGCAGACACAATTCATTTCATTTAGTTCGTTAATTAGAAAATAAAAAAATACAAAAAATAAAAAAGAAAATTCAAAAATACAAAATTTTCCCGTTCTATTTAAGTGTTCTCATCCTCCCTCCGTAACTCAGGAAATCAAAATCTGAATTAAAAAGATTTAAAGCATTTCCTCCACCAAAACCTTCTTCTCTCTGTTCGAAGAGATTTTGTTCATCTTTTACACATTAATCCGATGGCTGAGCAAAACGGGTTTTGCGTCGTGGGCCGGAGCGACCCGCTAAACTGGGTCGGAGCCGCGGAGTCGCTGAAGGGAAGTCATTTGGATGAGGTGAAGAGGATGGTGGAGGAGTACCGGCGTCCGGTCGTGAAGCTCGGAGGCGAGACGCTCACCATTTCTCAAGTTGCTGCCATCGCGGCTCGAGACTCGGAGGTCACGGTGGAGCTGTCCGAGTCGGCTAGAGCCGGTGTCAAAGCCAGTAGTGATTGGGTGATGGAGAGTATGAACAAAGGAACAGATAGCTATGGTGTTACCACCGGTTTTGGTGCTACTTCGCACCGACGAACCAAACAAGGTGGTGCCCTTCAGAAGGAACTCATACGGTTAGTTATTAATGGTACTATATTACTTAGTTATAAAAAAATTGACAATATATATTCCTAGGACTTTATGAGGTATCGTATTTTTATGATAAGTTATTATTAATAATGGTACTATATTACTTAGTTATAAAAAAATTGATGATATATATTCCTATGACTCTATGATGTACCGTATTTTTTAAGTATGTTTTACATATTATATATTTAAGTATATTTTACGTCATTTGTGTAATTGTCTCTTTTTATTAATATGGTTCTAATTTATTTAATAAATAAGTTGATCACTGAAATTTTAATTTAGACCCAATCAAAAAACAGCACACCACATAATTAAATAGGTAAGAAATTCAATTAATATTTTCTTTAGGAAGTATGTATAGAAGATATAATTATTTTTTTAATTTTATTCGGAAAACTAGTTTAAAAAAATTATTCAATCAAATAATATTTTTTACATGATTTCTTTTTCGATTAAAACATAAATTTGTTTTTAAACTAGATTTCTGAATAGGCTGTTAATATTCTAAGGATCTATGATAAATAATATACTTTTTTCACATATTAAAATAAAAATATTAATTTCAATCTCGTATTATATTTATTAGTTTCTAGAAACTCAAGCCCATTTGTTTCTAAAAGTTATGGGGGAGGTGAAGTTAAACCAGAAATATGAGAGTTAAAAAGCGGTCTATTTCATTTTTAGTTTTCTATTTTTAAAAATCATACTTGCGTACATTTTTTATATAATATTTTTTAGTTTTCTATTTTTAAAAATCATACTTGCGTCCATTTTTTATATAATATCAAGAAAATATATTTGAATTCTTCAAATTTTAAAAACTAAAACTACTCTTGAAAAATTACTTTTTTAGTTTTTTTAAAATTTGGCCTAGATTTTAAAAATGTTTATAAAAACTAAATAACAAAACAAAAGAATACACAGGTGAAAGTAATGTTTGTAAGCTTATTTTTAAAAACAGAAAACTAAAAATGAAAAAGGTTAGCAAAGTGAGGCCCGAGAAATATGGATAAATAAGTATATTAAAATTATATTATCTTATTTAATAAATTTTGAAAATTTAATCCAACTTCAGTGAAACTTTTTTCTAATTTATTTTTTTATTYTGTAGATTTTTGAATGCAGGGATATTTGGAAATGGCACCGAGTCAAGTCACACTTTGCCTCACACAGCAACAAGAGCAGCTATGTTGGTTAGAATCAATACTCTCCTTCAAGGCTACTCAGGGATTAGGTTTGAAATTTTAGAAGCCATAACCAAACTTCTCAACCACAATATTACTCCATGTTTGCCTCTCCGTGGAACAATTACGGCTTCGGGAGATCTCGTTCCTCTTTCTTACATTGCTGGATTACTCACGGGTAGACCAAATTCCAAAGCTGTCGGACCAAGTGGAGAAAGTCTTGATGCGAATGAGGCTTTCCAACAAGCTGGTATTCCTTCTGGGTTCTTCGAGTTGCAGCCTAAAGAAGGGTTGGCTCTTGTAAACGGGACTGCTGTTGGTTCTGGGTTAGCTTCTACTGTTCTTTTTGAAGCAAATATTTTGGCTGTTTTATCTGAGATTTTATCTGCTATTTTTGCTGAAGTTATGCAAGGTAAGCCTGAATTTACTGATCATTTGACCCATAAGTTAAAGCATCATCCTGGTCAAATTGAGGCGGCGGCAATCATGGAACATATTTTGGATGGAAGCTCTTACATGAAAACTGCTAAGAAGCTGCATGAAATTGATCCACTCCAAAAGCCAAAACAAGATCGTTATGCTCTTAGAACTTCACCTCAATGGCTTGGTCCATTGATTGAGGTCATTAGATTTTCTACCAAGTCCATTGAGCGAGAGATTAATTCAGTCAACGATAACCCTTTGATTGATGTTTCAAGGAATAAGGCTTTACATGGAGGTAACTTTCAAGGAACTCCAATTGGAGTCTCTATGGACAACACTCGTTTGGCCATAGCTTCGATTGGAAAGCTCATTTTCGCTCAATTTTCAGAGTTGGTCAATGACTTTTACAACAATGGTTTGCCCTCAAATCTCTCTGCAAGTAGAAACCCAAGTTTGGATTATGGATTCAAAGGTGCGGAAATTGCCATGGCTTCTTATTGCTCCGAGCTTCAATATTTGGCGAACCCAGTTACTACTCATGTCCAAAGTGCAGAACAACATAATCAAGATGTCAACTCTCTTGGTTTAATATCGTCAAGGAAAACAGCTGAGGCAATTGATATTTTGAAGCTCATGTCTTCCACATTTTTAGTTGCACTTTGCCAAGCAATTGACTTGAGGCATTTGGAAGAAAACTTGAAACACACAGTAAAAAACACAGTAAGTCAAGTGGCCAAGAAAGTCCTCACCACAGGTGCCAATGGAGCGCTTCACCCATCAAGATTTTGTGAGAAAGATTTACTCAAAGTTGTTGACAAAGAATATACCTTTGCTTACATTGATGACCCATGCAGTGTCACTTATCCACTAATGCAAAAGTTAAGACAAGTTTTGGTTGAGCATGCACTTTCAAACGGAGAAGATGAGAAGAAGCCAAACAACTCAATCTTTCAAAAGATTGGAGTTTTTGAGGAGGCATTGAAAACTATTTTGCCTAAGGAAGTAGAAAATGCAAGGGTAGCTTATGAAAATGGAAAATCTACCGTTCAAAACCAGATTAAAGAATGCAGATCATATCCATTATATAAGTTTGTGAGATCAGAATTAGGAACTGGGTTGCTCACCGGAGAGAAGGTAATATCTCCTGGAGAAGTATGTGAGAAAGTGTTCACAGCTTTATGTCAAGGAAAGATGATTGATCCAATTTTAGAATGTTTAAAGGAGTGGAACGGTGCTCCGATCCCTATTTGCTGAAGACTCAGGAACACAGGAACCGTGTGCTTTGTTATGTTTTTCGTTTTTTTATCTTCCTACTTGTAATTTATGGTTTTGGTATTTATTTTCTTTCATTTTACAAAGAAACGGTAAATGTATGACAATTTATTTCCTAAAAATTCCACCATGTTAATAATATTTTTGAAAAAATTATGTTAAACACAAATTTAAAAGATTAGAACTGTATTAGACAGAAAGTTCAACTTTTTTTTATAAATTTTTAAGCAAATGCATAATATATTAGAGATACACTAGACACAAAATAAAAATTTCATATACCTATGATATACTTTTAATAAAACTTAAGAATCTATTATGCTCGACATCTGGAATTGGTATGAAATGATTTCAAATTCCAGTATTTTAAACAATGGAAATGGTTTCGAATTTTTTTAAATCAAAATAATTATAAATCATTAAAATTAAAATTTATTGTTGGATATTCATGAGAAATGAAAATAAAGTATAACATTTTACTATTATGTCATTAATATTTAAAATTAATATAATATTTTAATATAAACTAGTAATTTCAATCCTGAAAACATAAATAATTTAATCAAATCAATCTAACAAAAGTTAAAACTTGTCAATGTCACGTTTATTTATGATGATGAAAAAAAAAGTATAGAAGAGTCACTTTATAGTTATTAGAATTGAAAAAAAAAAGCAGGAGAAATCAAAATTTGAAACTAATTTAATTGATGATGATGTCCAATAGAGTTGGAGTGATACGTATTCTTTTTCCACCAAAATAGGGTCCAAATTGGAATTTTTTGAGTTTAAACTTAAAATCCCCACAAATCCAACCGATTTAGAACGAAAAATATTTGAACGAAAAAGTGAATTTCAAATCATTTAGGATTTCAAATTCTTTTTTCTTTATTTATCCAAACACCGATTTTGAAATCCCTCGAAATTGAGGTTCAAAAGTTAATAACAAAATCGAAAAAATTTGAAAATATATAAAATATTTTTAAAATTTAAGAACCAAATAAATACAAAATTGGAAGTTTACGTGATACAACTTCTGCTCACAACAACCATCCAAAGAAAAAAGAAAAAGTTGAACCAACCTCTCCTAAGAACCTCACCAACCCCTCCCTCTCAAATCCTTTTTGGAGGCGCAGTAGATATAAATGTAATAAAATAGTAATTTACGAAATTAACAACTATTACATAATTCAAGGATATACCTGGTGATATATTACTTCTTTTTATGGTATTCTATTTCTCTTATTGAGTTTTCTTGTGTTATTTACGGATTTTAGATGAAATGCATGTATTTTGTAATCTAAATGTCTATCTTCTCTACTCAATTTAAATGTTATATTATTGATATACTTGATATTTTATAATATTTAGGGACTCAATAATACTAATATATGTGATTATGAGTACAATGATATACTTGATTTGATAGACTATTGATATATTTTATTTATATCTTAAAAATTTAAAAGGTAAAGTCAAAATAACTAAAATAAAAAAAACAGAAAATTTGATTTAAAAGATTTTCCCACATTTGCAAAACCTAAAAGCTATTGCTATATTTGCGAATATTGTAAATATTTTAGCTCATCATTATAAATTATCTCATTTATATATATTTATGCAATTATGATGTGACCCCTCATTAATTAACCTCCCTCTCTCATCTATCTACCTAGAAATAAGTATGAAAAATATTTTGGTGTTTGCTATTAAAGTAAGAGACATCTTTTCTATTATTATACTAACCTATCTTTTAATAGTAAAAACATGTTACAGTTCAATTCACATGTGTACTTCCATTAAATACATTCTCTCATGATTCGTTTAATGCTTATAAAGTACATGTTTAATTTGTCAAAACGAACATAGCTCAACGGTAATTAACATTTATCTCCAATCATGAAGTTGTGAGTTCGATCCCCACCTCCACATATTGTACTAAAAAAGAAAAAGAAAGTACATGTTTAATTTCAAAATAGCATCTTCTTTTTCTTTTTTTTTTATATGTTGATATTTCTTGAATAAATGATTTTGAAATTCATACTTGTAAACCTATATATTATAACATCATAAAGTTAGAGCCTTAGAAAATAATAGAGTTAGGTAAAAATTGATAATTTCAACATTGCTTGTAGACCACCCCATGCGTTGTACTCTTCCACGATGCTTCCTTCATTTGCCACTACAACACACAAAGTCACTACAACACTTTCTATTTAAACAACATTGCAATTCCTCTTTCTCCACAGCCTAAACCAACCAAAATCTAGAGATATCAATCTCATTTTTCCTAGAAGTAACCCTTCTTAATACTCTTTTATTTCTTTGAATTTTCTTCTCTTCTTCTCTTATTTTAACATGTCACCCATAGAGGAACATACAAAGAATGCTTTACTTGAGAGCTTCTGCACTAGTACTCATCCTGACCCCCTTAACTGGGGTGTGGCCGCTGAGTCCCTCAAGGGAAGTCATTTCGATGAGGTGAAGCGCATGATGGAGGAGTATCGGATGCCTGTCGTGAAGCTTGGAGGAGAGACTCTCACAATTTCCCAAGTGGCTGCCATTGCTACTCGGGACTCTGATGTCTTGGTGGAGCTGGCTGAGTCTACAAGAGCGGGCGTCAAAGCAAGTAGTGATTGGGTGTTGGAGAGTATAAACAAAGGGATAGATATTTACGGTATCACAACTGGATTTGGTGCCACGTCTCATAGAAGAACCAAACAAGGTGGAGCTCTCCAGAAGGAGTTGATTCGTTTCTTGAATGTTGGGATTCTTGGAAGCGGGGTTGAGTCAAACAACACTTTGCCTCTCTCTGCGACGAGGGCTACTATGTTAGTGAGAATCAACACTCTGCTTCAAGGCTACTCGGGAATTAGATTTGAGATTTTGGAAGCTATTACCAAACTATTGAACCACAACATCACTCCGTGCTTGCCTCTTCGTGGAACACTTACTGCTTCTGGAGATCTGGTTCCTCTTTCTTATATTGCTGGATTACTCACTGGTCGACCAAACTCTAAAGCCGTTGGACCAAATGGAGAAATTCTTGATGCAAAGGATGCTTTCAAACAAGTTGGTATTTCTACTGGCTTTTTTGAGTTCCAGCCCAAGGAGTGTTTTGCTCTTGTCAATAGTACCGCAGTTGGTTCTGGGTTGGCTTCTATTGTTCTCTTTGAGGCAAATATTTTAGTTGTTTTGTCTGAGATCTTGTCTGCCATTTTTGCTGACGTTATGCAAGGTAAGCCTGAATTTACTGATCATTTGACCCATAAGTTGAAGCACCATCCTGGTCAAATTGAGGCAGCAGCAATTATGGAACATATTTTAGATGGAAGCTCTTACATGAACACAGCTAAGAAACTGCATGAAATTGATCCACTCCAAAAGCCAAAGCAAGATCGTTATGCTCTTAGAACTTCACCTCAATGGCTTGGTCCATTAATTGAGGTCATTCGATTTTCTACCAAGTCCATCGAGCGAGAGATTAATTCAGTCAATGATAACCCTTTGATTGATGTTTCAAGGAACAAAGCTTTACATGGAGGTAACTTTCAAGGAACTCCAATTGGAGTCTCTATGGACAACACTCGTTTGGCCATAGCTTCGATTGGTAAGCTCATTTTCGCTCAATTTTCAGAGTTGGTCAATGACTTTTACAACAATGGTTTGCCTTCAAATCTCTCTGCGAGTAGAAACCCAAGTTTGGATTATGGATTCAAAGGTGCGGAAATTGCCATGGCTTCTTATTGCTCCGAGCTTCAATATTTGGCAAACCCAGTTACTACTCATGTCCAAAGTGCAGAACAACATAATCAAGATGTCAACTCTCTTGGTTTAATATCGTCAAGGAAAACAGCTGAGGCAATTGATATTTTGAAGCTCATGTCTTCTACATTTTTAGTTGCACTTTGCCAAGCAATTGACTTGAGGCATTTGGAAGAAAACTTGAAAAACACGGTAAAAAACACAGTAAGTCAAGTGGCCAAGAAAATCCTCGCCTCAAATGCTAATGGAGCGCTTCACTCATCAAAATCTTGTGAGAATTGTGAGAAAGATTTACTCAAAGTTGTTGACAGAGAATATACATTTGCTTACATTGATGATCCATGCAGTGCCACTTATCCGTTAATGCAAAAGTTAAGACAAGCTCTTGTGGAACATGCACTCTCAAATGGAGAAAATGAGAAGAACACAAGTAGTTCAATATTTCAAAAGATTGGAGTTTTCGAGGAGGAATTGAAAACTATTTTGCCTAAGGAAGTAGAAAACACAAGGCTAGCTTATGAAAATGGAAAATCTACGGTTCAAAACCAGATTAAAGAATGCAGATCATATCCATTATACAGGTTTGTAAGATCAGAATTAGGAATTGGGTTGCTTACAGGTGAAAAAGTAATATCTCCCGGAGAAGTATGTGAGAAAGTGTTCACAGCTTTATGCCAAGGAAAGATGATTGAACCAATTTTAGAATGTTTAAAAGAGTGGAATGGTGCTCCGATCCCCATTTGCTGAAGATTTGGAACTCTGAATTCAATTGCCGTACTCTGATATGTTTTTCGTTTTTCGTTTTCCTTATTGTAATTTCAGGTTTTGGTATTTAGTTTCTTTCATATCTTATAGTTTTCTTCCATTTCTTTTTATGTAATTTTACTTGAACGGTATGATGAGCTCATGATGAGTCGGAATGATTTCCTATGTTTTATCCTCTACATATTTAGTCTTCATTTCTAGTAAAAGTTTGTTTTCAAGAATTGAACTTCTTATAAATCAAATGTTCTTTTTTATTATTATTATTATTAATTGAGTCCAACAATGAGGTTGAAGAATTCCAAACTCCGATTTTTTGAGAGGTAAAGTAATTAAAAATTACTTTTTTCGATGATTAAAAATTTCCAAAAAAAATGTCACATCAACATTAAAATCAAATCTAAAAATCACATCAACTTTCAATTGAATTGGTTGGAAAAAAAACTAATCACAAATACCAAAATTCAGCATTTGCCGAACTTCATATATTAAATCCTAAGATTTTGAAATTTATAAAGACTTTTCTCCCAACCTCACATATTAAAAGAGTTAAATTAAAAATTTTAGTCCTAGAGTGTTTAATTGACTTTTTAAACATTTAATTTTGTATTTAATAGATCTTAAAACTTAAAAAAATATTAAGTAATTCTCAAACTCTTATTTAATTTTTTTTTAAATTCACCGATATTCACCTAAACTCCTAATAATTAAATACAAAAATAAAATATTAAAATTTTATAAACACAAAATTAAACTTTGCATCTAATAGATAATCTGAATTTTAAAAAATATAAAATAGGTTAGAGAAACATTAAACACAAAATTAAATTAAAAAACCATCCTCTACTTTTAAAATTTAAGTATATATTAGAATGAGAAAGACTTTAGTACCAAAATTTGTTTACTCCCACCAAACATTAAAAATAAATAAATAAATAACCAACCATTCAATTAATCTCACCAACCCCTCTCTCTCCACCTCAATCCTTTTTGGAGGCGCAGCTGATGGGCCTTTTGGTCATATTCACAAAATTACAAGAGTTTGAAAATTGAAAATATAATATATATTTGCTAACTAGACATCCACTTGAGTTTGAATTTCAACTCACCCCCTCACTCCATTATCTTTCTTTACCAAAAAAAAAAAAAGACATAACAAAATTAATCGATGAAGAATTCAATTATGGCATGCTTTTTTATATACATTTATAATATGACCATTTATTATAATAATTAACCTCCTCTCGTATATCTACTTTTTTTTAGAAATAAGTACTAAAATTTAGGTGATCATTGTACTGTAACCTATCTTTTAATAGTAACAACTAAATATTAGAAATATATGTTAATTATCGTTGAGACATGCTCGTTATTCGTTTTTGAATTTTAAAATAACTTATTTTTTCGTTTTTTTCTTTTCTTCAAGGAATGACACCTGATTCTATATCATTATTATAGGAATTGAAATAATAATCATTCGTATGATTCTGATTCTTGTTGTTTAGATTTTTTATTTCAAAAACATTTTGTGTTTTCAAATCAAATAAATAATTTCATCTACGATTCATTAGAACAAAAAAAAGTCCGACTAGGTGTGTAGGCTCATGTTTGTACAAAAGGAGTACATATACCTCATTGAAATGATATGAAAATCTAGATTATTAAAATATGAATAATAATCTTTTTGAAAAAACTATATTTGTACCTTTTTTTTTTGTTTAAAATTTATTATAAAATGAATGGAGTCATCAAGTTAGACCTTAGAAAATGAGTAGAGTTAGGTAAACGTTGATAATTTCAATTTCAATATTGTTTATTCCAACTACCACCTCTTGTGTTGTTGTGCTTCCACCACGCTTCCTTTCACTTGCCACACACACAAAGCCACCATTTTTGCTCAACACTTTCTATTTAAAGCCCATCTTCCTGCTCCTCTGTCTCCACAGACAAAATCCAGAGAGATCAATCCCATTTGTTCTAACACAAAGTAACCATTCTTATATTCTTTCATTTCTTTGGATCTTCTTCTCTTCTCTTCCTTTAACATGGCACCCGCAGAGCAATGTACAAAGAATGCTTCATTTGAGAGATTCTGCACCACTGCTCATCCAGACCCTCTTAACTGGGGTGTGGCTGCTGAATCCCTCAAGGGAAGTCATCTCGATGAGGTGAAGCGCATGGTAGAGGAGTATCGAAAGCCCGTCGTGAAGCTTGGAGGAGAGACGCTCACCATTTCTCAAGTGGCTGCCATTGCTACACGAGACTCTGATGTCTTGGTGGAGCTGGCTGAGTCGGCAAGAGCGGGCGTCAAAGCCAGTAGTGATTGGGTGATGGAGAGTATGAACAAAGGGACGGATAGCTACGGTGTCACTACGGGATTTGGTGCCACGTCTCATAGAAGAACCAAACAAGGTGGAGCTCTTCAAAAGGAATTGATTCGATTCTTGAATGCTGGGATTTTTGGAAGCGGGGCTGAATCTGACCACATTTTGCCTCACTCGGCAACGAGGGCTGCAATGTTGGTGAGAATCAACACTCTACTTCAAGGCTACTCGGGTATTAGATTCGAGATTTTGGAAGCCATAACCAAGCTTCTCAATAACAACATCACTCCATGCTTGCCTCTTCGTGGAACAATTACTGCTTCTGGAGATTTAGTTCCTCTTTCTTATATTGCTGGATTACTCACTGGTCGACCCAACTCTAAAGCCATGGGACCAAATGGAGAAAATCTTAATGCAAAGGAGGCTTTCAAACAAGCTGGTATTCCTACTAACTTCTTTGAGTTGCAGCCTAAGGAAGGTCTTGCTCTTGTCAATGGTACTGCTGTTGGTTCTGGATTGGCTTCCATTGTTCTCTTTGAGGCGAATATTTTGGCAGTTTTGTCAGAGATTTTGTCTGCTATTTTTGCTGAAGTTATGCAAGGTAAGCCTGAATTTACCGATCATTTGACCCATAAGTTGAAGCACCATCCTGGTCAAATTGAGGCAGCTGCAATTATGGAACACATTTTAGATGGAAGCTCTTACATGAAAACTGCCAAAAAATTGCATGAAATTGATCCTCTCCAGAAGCCTAAACAAGATCGTTATGCTCTTAGAACTTCTCCTCAATGGCTTGGTCCATTGATTGAAGTTATTCGATTTTCAACAAAGTCTATTGAGCGGGAGATCAATTCAGTCAACGACAATCCTTTAATTGATGTTTCAAGAAACAAGGCTTTGCATGGAGGCAACTTCCAAGGAACTCCAATTGGAGTATCAATGGACAATACTCGTTTGGCTATAGCTTCAATTGGAAAGCTCATTTTCGCTCAATTCTCTGAGCTAGTTAATGACTTCTACAACAATGGTTTGCCATCAAATCTTTCTGCAAGTAGAAATCCAAGTTTGGATTATGGATTTAAAGGTGCTGAGATTGCCATGGCTTCCTATTGCTCTGAACTTCAATATCTAGCAAATCCTGTGACTAGTCATGTCCAAAGTGCTGAGCAACATAATCAAGATGTTAACTCTCTTGGTTTAATTTCGTCGAGGAAAACATCTGAAGCCATTGACATTTTGAAGCTCATGTCTTCCACATTTTTGGTTGCACTTTGTCAAGCAATTGACTTGAGGCATTTGGAAGAAAACTTGAAGAATGTAGTGAAGACCACTGTAAGTCAAGTGGCCAAGAAAGTCCTCACCACAGGTGTTAATGGTGCGCTTCACCCATCCAGATTTTGTGTGAAAGATTTATTGAAAGTGGTTGACAGAGAATATACCTTCGCTTACATTGATGACCCATGTAGTGCCACTTACCCATTGATGCAAAAATTGAGACAAGTACTTGTTGAACATGCTTTAGAAAATGGTGAAGATGAAAAGAACACAAGCACCTCAATCTTTCAAAAGATTGAAGCTTTTGAGGAGGAACTCAAAGCAATCTTGCCCAAGGAAGTAGAAAATGCAAGATTGTCCTATGAAAATGGAACCTCAATGGTTCAAAACCAAATTGAAGAATGCAGATCTTATCCATTATACAAGTTTGTGAGGGAAGAGTTGGGAACTGGATTGCTGACCGGAGAGAAAGTGATATCTCCCGGAGAAGAGTGTGAAAAAGTGTTCACAGCTCTTTGCCAAGGAAAAATGATCGACCCAATTTTCGAATGTTTAAAGGAGTGGAACGGTGCTCCAATTCCAATCTGCTAATTATGTTGATGCTGAACCAGAGGATCCAACATTCAACCTGTTGAAACTTAGGAACAGGCACTTTTTATATGTTTGTCTTTTTTCCCCTCTTTTTAATCAAGTATATGTCACTGTGTAATATTTGATTATTTACCCTAATGAATATTCAACATAAATTTCTTAAATTTTTGGTTCTGTAAAAAAAAAAAAAAGAGTGACATGAATTCATTTTTGTGCTTTTGTTAGTTATTTGATGCATAATATCTCTTTTGACAAACGCCTTCATGCATAAATTTGACATATGTTTCAGAGTATATATATATATATATATATAATTTTTTTTGTGAGATTAAGCTATTGTTAGTTATAAAAAAAGTATAATTTTGTAGATGACATTAATCGATACTACAATTCCAAACTTAGACCCAGTTGCAACTGATAATTTTTATGTACAATTTTTTAAAAAATTAAAATTTGCTTGTTTAAACCTCTCATTTTCTTAAGAAAAATATGGATTATTACCGATGATGTTACTATATATGATCCTAATCACAACTAAAAAATTGACAGTTCCTTATTTTTTTAAAAAAAAATTYCTATTTTGTATTTTCCTTTCTTAATTATCAAATATTGGTTAGAATCATTTATGTCCTCCGCTCTCCCAATTTGGATATGAGAGGAATAAACTGATGATTTTGTATTATTAATAAAACTGTAACCCTTTTTCCATTATTTCCAGTAAATTCATAAACTTGACAACTTTTTTAACAAAACTAATATAATATTTGTTACATATGCTTCAATTTACGCATATATTTAATTATGGATCTAAATATAACTTAATTAACAAAGTACCTA